TCAGGCCTGTCTGAATTCCTCCTGACTGGCCCATGCTGGGGCTAGGACCGGAAGGGTCGAAGGGCCGGGGGCCCACCGCAAGGGACACCTAAGAGCTGAGGGCCTGGGGTCTCAACTAGCCTGCAGGTGGCCCAGGGCTAGAGAGCCAAAGGTTCCAGTGAGGGTATCACACCTGAAGGGGGATCAGTTCAGGGAGCTATGGTGCCCGGTATGACAGCAGAAGAGGCCGCCTGAGTGGAGGAATCCAGGTAGGGTTCAATAGGAGGATTCTGGGGCCCAGTGTGGGGGCCGGTGATAGTGAGAATATCGTGATGCCATCTGTGAGGCTTGGGCTGTGGTGTAGGGGAGGAAAGGAGGCACAGATAGCGCCCCGTGGCATCAGGGCAGAAGATGGGCAGCCTCCCACTTGATGTTAATTACTTAAAGAGATGTAATTAAGGCATGGTGGGCAAGAACATGGGCGGTTGGCCCAGGGACAGGTGGATGGGCCATGGTTGGATCGGCCCTGAGCAGGCCCCCTGTTACAGACCTGGAGAGTGGTAGTTGATGGAAGATGTCCCCGACAGGCCTTCTTGTGTCGCTCCTGGGAGCTCTGCCCTCCTGGTTGGCGGCTACTCCCCGTCCGGACCTGTTTGTCACCGTGGGTGTTCGTTCTCCTGCGTCGCCAGCCCCGCTCTCACCTTGTTGTTTCCCCGGTGGGGTGGGGCTAGTTCACGGGTCCCTTGGTGGCCTGGGCTTGGCCTGCCAGTTGCACACGGGGCTCCGCCACCCCTACACCCCGGCCTCACACCACCTATGGGCTCCACTTCCCCGTGCCTGCTCCGTGCTGCTTCTGCAGGCTTCTAACACAGCTTTCGTACTCGATCCCACAATCTGTGGGATACTACTACCTTAATGTCGACCACTTCACAGTAACCTGCACTGGTGCCTCAGTCGCACCCTCTATAGACCCCATGCCACAAGCCCTTCACCCGGTGTGACACTCCCCACTTGGAGTTACTGACTTCCTAACTACCTCGCTGACCCTCCACCAGATCCCTATTAGCCTGAACGGGGGTGGGGGGGAGGGATTCCCCTTAGATGCTCTTTGGCTGCCCCGCTCCTGTTCCTTTAACTGACGTCCGCTGGTCTTGGCGGCGATTCTGCCCCGATCTCCCTCCAGCCAGGTGGTCCTCGGTCCTTCGCCCCTCTTCAGCGTGGCCCGCACCCACCGTCTCGAAACTTACTTTGGGGTCCTCGGAATCCTCCTGGGTCATCCCGATCTTCAGTCGCTCACCCGATCCGTCGCTTCTGGATCGATCCGCCGGCGTCCCCGTCTTTGGGCTTCCCTTCTGGGTCGCTGCTCCCTCTGGCATGCTGGCTCGGCTTTGTCCATCTCGGGGATCCCATGCCGTCGCTGGCCCTAACTGCCACTTGATCCCCAGGCTATCTGCTGCCTCCGGAGCGGTGGCCGCCATTTTTAAATCCCCAGGCCGGCATCTGATGCTGCTGTTAGCTGCTGGCCGCAGCTGTACGAAGATGCGGCTAACGAGCCACACTGGTTCTCCCTCCGGCTCTGCATCTCTCCTGTCGTGGGCTTCAGGTTAGTGTCCCTTGTTACCTCGGCCCCTGGGACAGAAGACAATCATCATGGTGTGCTGTGACCAGTGGGGTCCCCCAAGGTTCCATCCTTGGGCCTGTACTCTTTACCATCCTCATTAATGATGTGGACATTGGTGTCTGAAGCTGACTGGCCAAGTTCGCTGATGACACCAAACTTTGGGGTAAAGCGTCTTCACCCGAGGACAGGATGGTGATCCAGGCCAACCTTGACAGGCTAAAAAAATGGGCGGATGAAAACCTGATGGCCTTCAACACTGAAAAATGCAAGATACTTCACCTTGGGAAGGAAAACCCGCAGCATGCTTATCGGCTCGGCAGTGCTATGCTTGCTAGCACCACGGCCAAAAGGGACTTGGGAGTCACAATTGACCATAAGATGAATATGAGCCACCAATGTGATATTGCAGCTGGCAAAGTGAGCAAAACTTTGGCTTGCATCCATAAATGCTTCTCTAGCAAATCCCAGGATGTCATCCTCCCATTGTACTCGGCCTTGGTGAGGCCGCAACTGGAGTACTGTATCCAGTTCTGGGCTCCACAATTTTATAAGGATGTGGAGAAGCTTGAGAGAGTCCAGAGGTGAGCCAGGCACATGGTCAGAGGACAGGAAAACAGGCCTTATGATGAGAGGCTGAGAGCTATGGGACTCTTCAGCCTGGAAAAGCACAGGCTCAGGGTGGACCTGATGGCTTCCTATAAGTATGTAAGGGGTACTCACCAGGATCTGGGGGAACACCTGTTCACCAAAGCGCCCCAAGAGATGACAAGGTCCAATGGTCACAAACTCCTCCAAGACTGTTTCAGCCTGGACGTAAGGAAGAACTTCTTTATTGTCTGAGTCCCCAAGGCCTGAAACAGACTGCTGCCAGAGGTGGTGCAAACACCTACTCTGGACTCCTTTAAGAGACATTTGGACATTTATCTTGCTGGGATCCTTTGACCCCAGCTGACTTCCTGCCCTGGGGAAGGCGCTGGACTCGATCTTCCGAGATCTGTTCCAGCCCTAATGTCTCTGAAATCTGTGAAAAGAACTGTCCCTTTCTTTCTTTTATAATCAATATATTAACTTATTTTCTGCCATTCAAAAGCTTTTGGAATCTTCTTCCAAATTCAGAATAGCTCTGAAGATTTACTGAAAGAGATCTAAAAACTTCAGAGCTGAAGAAAGACTGTCATCTCTTAATATGTAGAACAAAAACCTTAGGGGCTTCCCTGTATGCTAGTCTGTATTCTACTTATAGAGCACATGCACCCTGTGCACTGAAGATTAGAATCTTTTGGTTATCAGTGTCCATTATGGCCACACATGCCCCCTTAGTGTCCTCATCTCTTTTACCACAGCTTAAAAGTCAGGGGCAGGCCAACTTGCCCATTTTATTCTCTGTGTTTCTAGGAAAGAACCCTGGTAATGTCTGAATGTTAATGAACTTCAAAGTATTTTTGATGTAAATATATCATGATAGGATTAGGATTTTACTGTAGTTCATATAGTTTGTCCATTAGCATTTTAGATGCAATTACTTTTTCTTTTGTTTTTCAAGGAGAAGTATTTTTCCATGGTATTGCAACTTAGTCGTAATTGAACTGGTCTCTCAGTGGTTAAAATTGCCAGTCCACGACAGCCACGTGAGATGCTTGTTTTGCCCAAAGGAATATAACTCTGATAAAATTTGAAGATGCAGAAGTAGGGCTCATCTCAAACACATTCTTTTAGATGGGTTTATGGGCCCCCTAATTTCTGGACTAACTAACTTTAGACCAGCTGCCTCTGTCCAAAACTTTCTCGCTAAGCTCATCTGTTTTTAGTACTGAATTTTACTTGCAACCTTCTTTCTTGAAGCAGACAGACACAGTCTTATCAGACACACTGATACCAAACTTAACACCAGCATCAGAGTGGCTAAAACATTTCTTTTAGGTGACTTCTCTGGTCAATGGCTCAGCAATATTGCAAAGCATGCAACCATAGTTGGTTAAAGCAGACACTTTTAAAACAAGAAGGTTGAGAGAGAGATGGAAGAAGAGAAATAAGGGTTTAAAAGAGGGGAGGGAACGACAACAGGAATTTAAGCCTCACATTCCAGGTGGCGATCATGAGTTAGCTGAACTTTGCTGAAGTTGGTGGAGATGGCAGTATAATGGAGGGTCTCCCCTACTGCCTCTCTCTGATTATTTCAGGATTGGAGTGTTAAAGGTCCAGCAGTGTCAGTGTAGATCCCAGATTCCAAAGATGCAGGGGATGGTAGCCAAAGTAATAATACAATGTATGCCTTCATGTCTACCTGTATTTCTGGTATCAGTGTTAAATAACTAATCTAAAAAATGGGTGAACAACCCATCTTCTCTTATTTTGTCTATCAGGACCTCTCTAGTCATTTAGGTAAAGACATGATAGGATCCTATGTGTGATCCACACAATTATACCTCCTGCCTTGCATGATAATACCCTGCTACATGTGCAAATTAAAGCTGGAAGGAAGCCAGTTATAAAGTTACTACACATTTTCCAGCTCTAACTTAATAGCTGGATGGACCTTTTTATAGCATGACAGTTACTTTGCATGTGCAGCCAGTCTAAATTAATTGCATGATTAACCAGTTAATAACATAATATATGTAACATGTAGAGGGAGCCTTCGTGACTCACCAGTTTTGGCCAAGTAATTTATGGTCTTGTGTTCCTCATGTTTACCAGAGGCAATCTTAAGATAGTCATTGGCTAGTTCCAGTGACCATTCTTGTTTGGAGTTATTCCATTTTTCCATCTTCAAGTTCTGCTGACATACAGAATATTTTATTTAACAGGTTAAGTTAGACTATTTATTACAACAGTTTAAAGCTGACAATAGGCCTCTGCATGGCAGCACGTATTTGGACCCTTATTGCATTGGTTCATCAAAGTTTCCATTTTAATGGCTGATAGTTATGTCAGTCCAAAGAACTGGGAATGTGAAGCACTTATGACGTGCATTGAAGTCATACTGTTTAACACGTTTTTCCTTTTAGCTCATTTAGTTTTACAAACATTAAAGAATTGTCAGATAATTTAAGACTCTTTTTTTAACAGTTCAAAAAGAAAAATTGCATATCAGTCAGAAATCCAGGCTATACACAAAAACATCCAGAAAACTGAAGAGCAAATAAGAAAAGTGAATAAAGAGCTATATAATATTGAGATGTCTTATGCAGAAAGAAAATTAAAACTGGAGGGATTGGAAGAAAAAATAATTCAAGAAAAAGTCCAGTACAAGGTTGTATATAGCATTACATAAATGTATTAAGTTGTATAAAAATGGATGAGAAAGAACATTATTTTTAAGAGTACAGTAGAATGCAGTCTTTTAACCTGCTCTTGCAGTACTGCATAGTACAGGTGCTCACAAACAATACTACATTAGTAAGGAAAAGGGATCTTGCTGCAAGATCTTATTCACAGAGATAAGAAATCACTGGATCTGATGTATTCAGCATGACATTTACTCAATAGACATATGTATGCATGGTCTTTTTTTATAATATGAATGTGTTATATTGAACAAGAACATACAGGCACTAATGAGCTGTCACAGATACACTGGTTTTGAACAATACTCATATATGCCTTCTTTCAAATTTCCTTAGTTCCCCAGGTTGACAACAAAAATCTAATGTCATCTTAATAGTAGCAGTGTGGTTTTACCAAGCACTGGTGTCCAGCAGTTGGCCAGGGAACCATATAATTTAACTTTCTCTACTTCCAGGTCTTTTGTTCCCATATCAAGGGAGAATCTTTCTTCTAAATCCAGAGCCAATCCATCTGGTAGCTTTCAGTATTGTGGTGGAGTGCTTCTTTTCAGAGACACTTTGAAGTGTTCTTTTCCAGTTCAAAAATACTCAAACAGATAAGGCAAGGTTTCAACCTCTGAATAAATAACTAATTAGCGATCCTACCTCTAGGAAGCATACTAAATACCTTTTATATTAAAAGTCACAGAATTTAGCCCTTGCCTCCCTAGAGATGCATTTGGTAGTTGTATAGGTGTTGTGTTTATGTTTGTGATCTGATTAGGCTAAACAGAGGACTGGGATGTTGTTATTGGGAGGATGTGTGGAGGCCACATAGGAGTGCTTGGCAGGGTGCTCGGTAACAGGGAGCCTAGCCTCAGGTTAGGGACCCAGAGA